TGCAACCATTTTCTGAGAGAAGGGTTGCATTTTCTGACAGAATTGCAAAGGTGCCAATATTTTTGGCCATGACTGTACATCATATTACTTTCGTTTGGTAAAGAGATGAACAAAACAAAGAGAACTGTTATTCCTTTACGTACTAGAGTGGCCTAATTTTTGGTACTTTTTATCACTCACAATATTTTTGAAAGCTCCTAACAGTAATTATTTAGTTGTTTAGACTTTTTTTGACTTAATAGTAGAGTAGCCGCCTAGAGTGGTCGAAATGACTAGATAGGCGGGGTATAAATACAATAAATAAATAAATAAATAAATAAACAAACAAACAAACAAACAAACATTCTGTGCATGAATAAATAAATAAATAAATAAATAAATAAATAAATAAATACAATTCTGAGAATTTGCAAAACTTTAGATTTATGACCAAAGTTAACTCTTCAGTGACAGCTTGTGTACAGTACTGGCTTTTTTAAAAAAAGTGACTGCTAATAATAAACACTTGTTTTAACCCTGGCTTCTTACAAATCTGCCAGTTACATGTATGGAAATATTGATCTGACATCTATTGCTTTAAATCTGTATCCGTATGTTCTCGCTCCTCTATCAGAGACTGGACATCATCATGGTCATTTGGACTTTGGATGCAGTAGCATTAAGCATTGATGTTGTGTTGCACCCAAACCATTCTCGCAGGCTCTTCAGCCAGTAAGGGTTCTTTTCCCTTCTGCAATTTTCTCATTTATTTTCCCTTGAATGACTCACTGTCACAATCTTTATTTTTCATTTCTCATTGTGTGATTGACTTAGATTAACTTTCTTTGCTTTATGATTTGCTGGTCTTTAATCAATCATGTTGGTACGTCTTCATTGGTCACCCTTTTAATCAAATAAATTCTTAGTATCTTGTAGTAATTCCACTCAAATGCTTTTAAAATAATTGCCTGTGTTAAAGTTCATGCCATTTACTCAAACTGAGGATATACAGTACTGTAATTCTGCTTCCAGCAACAATGAGGTTAAAGGTACTGGGCCACTATGTACTCCAAATTTTTATGCCTCCCAAAATGTAACTACAAAGCACAAACAGCTGATTTGTATGTTAGGGTTCTCTTCCATAGTATTGACAATCTTTTCCATTCAGTACCAAGTGCAATGAGCCTTAAAGGTCCTTATGACCGCCCCTACCAGACCCTGAATTAGAGATGTTGTGTATGGGGGCAAGCAGACCACTTTGACACCTTCAGAGTTGAACTCATGGGGTTCTGGATGGCGAAGGGCACAGTACTGTATTCACTGAATATTTATTTATTGAATATTTATTTATTGAAATAGTGATCGAAAAAAATCAATGTATAACCAAAACCACACTGTTCAGACCTGTGCAATTTGAGGGAGAAGTGTATTTAAAGGAAAACAGACAAACTCCAGAGCGCTAAATTTTGACCCAACACACTCCACACTTTAGTTTTAGATCTGTAACTACCTTTTTGGGCTGCTTTACTGATTATGTATTAATTACAATCAATTACATAAATTCAGTTATTTGATCACATTATTGTTCTTGATATTTAGTTAGGGATATTAAAACATTAAAATTTCTGTCCTGTGTAACATATACATTTCATGTATAACTAAAACATGTGGATGGTCATTTTAAATTTATGGCAGTTGGAGACACCAGTTTCTGGGTACTGTGAATCCACTTGGGGTTCTGAATTCCTTCCAAGGTGCTGAATCCTATCTTCTCAAAAAAGGTGAAATAATTCATTTTAAATACAGACTAAAACCCAAAATATATTCACAATACAATAGTGATTAGAGTCAACAATCTATGGCCCAATCTTTAAGCCAATGGTTCTACTGCTTAATTAGCTTTCCACTGGAATGACATAGGAAGACAGTGAAAAAATTCATAGCCTGTGTGATTAAAATGGAAAAGTTCCATTAACTGTTGTTCTGAATAGCCACGAATAGTGCTGCCAATTTTACCAGCATTCTTATGGTGAAAACATAACATACAGTAGTTTGCATTAAAAGAAAGAATAGGAAATGGTTAGAAGAAATAGTGCAAATAAGAATAGCAAATTTGTGCCACTGTTTTTATGGCAACAACAGCTGAGCACCAGGCATACCTAGGAAATCACACTGTTTATTAGACCTGCAAGAACCAAAGATGCTGTTTCACTTCTACTGACTGTAGCAGTTACAGGTTAGGCTCCTCTTGGGCATCAAGGAATGGGGTCATGCAGATTTGAAGCTCAATTTTAAGAAATGTTTTGCTTTCAAAGTGTCGGTTGTTGCTGCACATATACTAGACACCTTGTAGCATTCTGGCTCCTTGGTATTCTTTGCATTTGCTGGTACTAGGGGAGAGTTGCACTAGCCCACAAAGTGTTTACTGTATATACTTCTATACTACCATCAGTGCTACTGTTGACATTTTATCAGAAATATTATAGTAGCAGAATCTTAATATATAAAAAGATTACTAATTTCAGGATAACACTACAGTAAACACACAGGAAAATATTTCAAACTGTTATCAAAATAAATTTATAAAACAAATTCCATTTGAGAAAAAAATAGAGAGAGCGATTTAAAAATAATACTGAATACTCAACTCTTTCCAAAAATAATGAAACTAGATAGTATCATTTAGCTTTTATATACTGTGGATGATACAAGAAATCCTGAACATTTTTCCAAAAAAGTTAATTATTTGGAAACCTGAAGTTAAATACTTATAGAGGGGAAAAAACTAAATTCTAAATAGTCCAGACATGTCAATAGCTAATCTACTAAATATAAATAATACTGACACATACCTTTACCTTAGAATGGTAAAAAAAGAGAAAGAAATGAAGGCCCTGAAAAAAAATACTAATTTGTTTTCAGTTGAAGGTCATCCCAGTCTTAACAGTTTTGAAATTATAGGCTTAAGTGCCAGGAAAATTTAGACTACATATCCTTTGCTAATGAAAATATTATTGACAGCTTGACAACTGTAGACATGGTTAGTGCAAACATTTTTCTGGTGTGGCCTTTCGCACAAGTTATATTTCTGGGTATGGAAGAAATAGGCAAAGTAGTAGCACTATCTCATTTTTTTCTGGGTGTACCTTTTGTAGACTTTGGCTATTGCTTATATATTGGCTTTATAATCAGAAATATTTTCACAAAATTCCCATTTTGTTATTCAGTTAAAATATCAAAAACAATGCCGCTAAATAGACCTTTCTTAAACCATATGGCATCACCTGGCTATGAGTTAACACATTCACAACTTTCCTTCTGATAGCTACAGTTCCCCTTGATGACACTTGTTTCTGGGGTACTGTGAATCCACTTGGGGTTGTGAATTCCTTTTAAGGTGCTGAATCCTATCTTCCCCAAAAAGGTGAAATACTGTAATTCATTTTAAATACAGACTAAAACCCATAGTATATTCACAATAGTCACCAATCTATGGCCCAATCTTTAAGCCCATGGTTAGGGGTTTTCTATTTTCATTTAAGTACTGTATACATACAAAAATATATGCACACATAAATACAGTCATTTTTTCCTTACACATGAGATTCATAAATGTTTTACATTGTGGGCATCCTGTTGAGAGTCAACAGGTGCTAGAAAATAATCTAGCATACTTTCTTATATATTTATAGAAGAAAAAAATAAAGCCATGCATTAAGGAGTTACTCTGAGCTGGCAAGTGCATTTTCTGGTAAATACATAGGTACAGGTACAAATGCTCATAAGGAGAAATTGTTCTGTTGCCAAAGATATGTGTTAACTAGATGCAGTATGATTTAAGTTCCTGATTCTTTTATGTAAAAAAGATGTGTTATCATTCTGACCTGAAAAATAAAGCACAAAAGAGAAATGTTTCACTTTGAATTAAGCTGTGGAAACAAGAATTCTATTGATATGCCATAAAGAGTACTAGTGTGCAGTTTTGTCCTAAGAAAAGAAGTATTGAAACAAAGAGACTTGTTTCCTTTATTTGCATTCACTTACAGAGGTGCTAAGATTCACTTTCTATAGTGACAGAAGTTAATGTCATTACTCCTGGCAACTGTTATTTTACTTTCTCGGAATGGTCCCATATTGTGTAATTCTAGGGCATTCTGGAAAAAGTGATAACTGCTAATAGGGCTTCTCTTTTCGGAGCTGCCATTTATGCCCAGCCTTCATCCTGTTCCCAGGACAAAACATTATCAGGGCCATTATGCGAAAATAAAAAGATGGCTAAGACCTGTTCATCAAATAGAATTAAAAAGATAGCCCGAAAAAGGGAATAATTGGGAGCAATTAAAAAAATATACTGTAAACATATGAAGACTAACATTTAGTGTACGTGTTGTTTGTACTAGATGAAAATGTGAAATATAAAAAGAAAAATTCTCCCCACCCAACTCTTAGATAAAAAGGCTATTGCTTATCATAGTAAATCACAACTAGAGTACACCCACTGAAGAGGATTTGGTGAGCCAACCCCTCCATAAGTTCCATTGATTCAATAAGCCTATTCTAGGGTTACTATGACTTACTGTGCTAGGCCACAGGATTTTAACCAAAGTATCTACTATAGAAGGCTCTATACTCATTTAAACTGTGCAACCAGATTTGCAAAGTTTGACATTTCTGGTTAGAGGGGTTTTGGAACTGTTGTCAAAAACATTTAACTTTTTCATGGTAAGCGGACTGATTTTTCCAGAAAACAAAACAAGATGTGTGTATCTGAATAAATTTATGCTTGACAAAAATTGGCACCAACTAGGAAGAATACTCCTTTAATCGGACTGGCTGTCTGATGAATCAGATCTCTTCTCCCTCCTCCTCCGGAGCTGCAGCTGTAGCTGAATCTTGTTAGTAAAGAAGAATTGCTTCCAACCAACTTCTTGGGCCAGTGATCTCATTTCTGGAGTAATTCTTCCTGATAAATTTTTCACAATCATCTCCCATAGTTTGTCAGAGTTGCACAACTGTTTGTAAAAGAAATGAAAGGTATTAACAAGAAAAAATATTTGTTCACTATCCAGGTAAAAGGCTTTTCCCCATATTGTGAGGAAAACGGAAATTTCAACATGATTTTGTGGGGCTGCTTGATTTTTAAGTCACATTTAATTTAATTTTCCAAAATAATATATATGTCAACTAACTTTAATAATGATATACTCTCTAAGATGTCACAAATATTTTATTGGCAGGAGCACTGTAACTCTTGGGCCAGAGAATGTTAAGCAATAAGCATTTATTTTTGTTTAGCTGAAGACTGAATTGGAAGTTCCAATTTAAGCACACTGTTTACTTGATTGTTTAAACCAAAGATTTGAAATAATCCCATGTCAATTATATATTACTTACTTCTGAGCAGGCATATAAAGAATTGCACTGTAAAATCTATTTTTGTTTTGATATTATAGATTGATTTAGCACTTTGTAAATGAAGTATGACTGATTATATAATCTATACAAAAAAGTAGAGTGCTATATAGTTGGGCCTAAATAACTATTGTACTAATTAAGAAACTAATGCATTATAGGGCACACTGACAGTATAATAGGCTAAGAACATTCTGTTTTATTTGAATTTTTCTTTTGTATTATGTATTAGCTCCCTCTGGTGGCTTTTGGTCTACCTCAGTCCTATGCAGTTATTTAATATGTAAAAGATTCTACATTCACTTAGCATGAAAAATTATCATAGAACGCAGTAGGCCCCTTGTTATTTTGTTTTGTGGGATACAGATGCACTAAATAATAATAACAATAGCAATACCAACAATGTCTCATGACAGGTAGATACAGTGCTGTTTGTCCATAGTAGTAGCTCAACAAGTATATCAGAATAAAACATACAAAGAAGTATAACACAATGCAGGACAGGAGGTATAAATATTAGGGTCAATGTGTAAGTATTATGATTAACCATATTTTATTAAAACACTTTACCAGATGGGCTTGGTTGCTTAGGATCCTATTAGGATTTTACTCCAAAATAAATGAAATTGACATGTTGGCAAACCATTGCTAATAAACAAAGTTAGAGTTGTGTGCCTTGTCAACATGCCAGTCATTAACCTATGCATGTAACCAGATATTTGATTGGAACCTTGCTAATTATTTTCAGTTCACTGCAATGAAATTATGTGATTTTATTTCCCCTAGAGTAAAAACACAATAGGATTCTGGCTGCTATAGTAAAATTGTCCACTATCACAAGTTAAGTGTTTGATTGTTATTATTTGCCTAGAAGATGGAAACATTGATTCCCAATTTCTATAAATAATGCTCCTAGTTCTTCAAAATACTTATTTCTTTCATCTTTATGCATATATAAATACAATTAGTACAATATTCTAAATTACTTAGAGCCATTGTATATGTATTGTTAAGGAGTACCTCACTAGACGACAAACCTAGACAGCATCTTAAAAAGCAGAGACATCACCTTGCTGACAAAGGTCCGCATAGTCAAAGTTATGGTTTTTCTACTAGCGATGTATGGAAGTGAGAGCTGGACCATAAAGAAGAATGACTGCTGAAGAATTCATGCTTTTGAATTATGGTTCTGGAGGGGACTCTTGAGAGTTCCCTGGACTGCAAAGAGAGCAAACCTATCCATTTTGAAGGAAATTAACCCTGAGTGCTCACTGGAAGGACAGATGCTGAAGCTGAGGCAACAATACTTTGGCCATCTCATGAGAAGAGAAGCCTCCCTGGAAAAGACCCTGGTGTTGGGAAAATGTGAAGGCAAGAGAAGGGGATGACAGAGGACAAGATGGTTGGACAGTGTCATCGAAGCTACCGACATGAATTTCACTCAACTCCGGGAGGCAGTGGAAGACAGGAAGGCCTGGTGTGCTCTGGTCCATGGGGTGGGTCAGAAAGAGACATGACTAAACGACTAAACAACAACAACCTCACTAGACAATCATGAGACACATTATTTGAAGAAACACATGCTGAAGCTGAATGGAATGCAACACATTTTGTTTTAAACAAAGCTTACCATTTCAAATCTGTGAGATACTTGAGAAAGTCTGGCAATATCTTCTAGTTCCAAATAGGATATGATATACAGTAGCAATGGGTCAGGAAGTCGCACCAGGAAGTCAAAATTACCCCGGCACAAATTGAAGGTGTGTTCCAAAGTCTCTGCTCCAAATATGATGGCTATTTGAACTGCAATAAAAACCAGAGAGGTTTACAACTTGCTACAAAGAACTAGGTGTAATACTGTACTAATTATAATGTGTTTTGCAGATGGAGACAGAGTCAAGGTGAACATAAGCATATTAAAGAACATGTTGTGAGACAATCATGTTATTTCCCATAACATTTGTTCTTTAGTGATACTGTGTGCATTCACATGTAGCTGTCTGTGCCCACACAAAGCCACAAGACCCATGCTTTATAACCTACAAAGACAGACAAGAGGTGATAGCCCCATCCCTGTTCCCTACAGTGCATGTCTGAGCAGGCTGTCTTTAAATTCACAGGGATCACATACTCCTCCTTGTTAGAGCAGTTCCACCGGCTGGTTTCTGGGCACAATTTGAAGTGCTAACCTATAAAGCACTAAGCTTGGGTTCAAGCTATCTCAACGACTGTGTTTCCTTTTATGAGCCTGCCCAGGTGTTAGGATCATATCTTAGTCCCACCACCTTCACAGGTGCATTTAATGGAGACACAGGAGAGGGCCTTCCCTGTTGCTGCTACTGAACTTTGGAACTCCTTCCCACAGGAAGACAGGCTGGCCCCATCTTTGTTATCCTTCTGCAAGCAGGCAAAGACTTTTCTCTTTAGGCAAGCTTTGCCTTATGACTGGCTGTCTCAGTGTGATTTTAAAATGGATTGTTGTACCTCCCTGTGGACTTTTAAGAAGCAATTAAAGACATTATTTTCCTGGGAGGCTTTCCACACCAACCACAGCTGACCACATTCCTCCCCTGCCTTTTCCCCCTCTTCCCTCCTCCTCTTCCCTCTTTCCCTCCATCTGCTCAGAGATTAGTTGATGCCATCTGGTTTTCTTTTTTTCCTTAGGGTTTTTGTTATCAGTTTTAATATTTTCATTTTCATTTGTGTTTTCTATTTGATGAGATTGTAACACACCGAAAGTAGTGCTATGACACTAATGGGAGTGGGATACAAAGTGAATGAATAAATGAATGAATCTTTTACCACTTAGAATTGTGTTGTTGAAATTGCTTTTGTTTATTGTCTTTTAATGTGATATTTGTTTGATCCTTTGTTATCAGTTTTAATATTTTCATTTTCATTTGTGTTTTCTATTTGATGAGATTGTAACACACCGAAAGTAGTGCTATGACACTAATGGGAGTGGGATACAAAGTGAATGAATAAATGAATGAATCTTTTACCACTTAGAATTGTGTTGTTGAAATTGCTTTTGTTTATTGTCTTTTAATGTGATATTTGTTTGATCCTTTTTAGTATTTGTATACTTACTCTTTTTCACTTTAAATATTGTATTTTAATGTAAACCAACTTTTAAGGAGAAAGGCAGGATAAAAATATTTTAAATAAATAACACTGAACCCTATGACTATCTTTGTCACCTCCAAAGCAGGTACCAAAGAGGGGAACTACAGCAGGTTATATGGATGCACAGATGACCACTTGAAGAACATTACAGCTAAACAATCAGTTTGTCTTCATTTTAATTTCTCTGCATCACATGTATGGGTAAAAATGAGAGGGGAACACCTCATAGACTGAGAAGATTCAGGTACCCAGTGTGGAACATTACCAGATTCATTCTCAGTACCACCAAGTTGAGGACAGGATATTTTGGAAATTGCTCATTTATAGGGTGGCAAAAAATTGAAGGTGACTTGACAACACCCAGCAACAATAACATCAGCTATGCTCGCTTGTATCTAACATGTGCTCACACTTTGCCTTGGCCTTTCATTTCCATCTTATTGAAACCAAGTTCCGTGAGGAGAGGGACTAATTATGAATATTTGTCTGTTTATTATATTTTATCCTGTCTTTCTCTTTATAAGGAACCAAAGTGGCTTATATAATTGAAAAACATTATTTAAAAGCTAAAAACAGTAAGCATACAAATATTAAAAAATTAAACAAGTATTATATTAAAATGGGAAATAAAATCAGTATTAAAACATTTGAAACAACAGAGAACAACAATCCATTTAAAACCCCTCTCAGAACATCTGCCATTAAGGAAAAGTCTGCCTGAAGGGAAAGGTCTTTGCTTGCCTGCAGAACGACATCAAAGATGGGGCCAGTCTAGCTTCCCATAGGAGGGAGCTCCGGGGTCTGGGAGTAGCAACAGAGAAGGCCCTCTCCTGTGTCTCCCACGAAGCGCACCTATCAGGGTGGTGAGAGTGAGAGAAAGGCTTCTCCTGATGATCTTAATGACCAGTCAGGCTCATAGAGGGGGATGTGGTCTTTTAGATAGCTTGAGCCCAAGCCATTTATTTATTTATTTATTTATCTATCTATCTATTTATTTATTTATTTATTTATTTATTTATTTATTTATTTATTTATTTATTTATTAATTTAATTTAATTTAATTTATATTCCACCCATCTGGTATATTTAGGGCTTTATAGGTTAAAACCAGCACTTTGAATTATGCCTGGAAACAGATCGGCAGCCAGTGGAGTTGCTAGGTGTCTGAAAGGGTGTTAGGACAGGCTGTAAAGTGCTGGCAAAGATGACTAGTGTTCTTTCAATTTTCTTATCTTGGGAATCACAGTTGGTAGGAACCTAAGTGTCAGAACTAATAAAAATGTTTGGGGATGTTTGTACTGTATCATTTATGTGCTCATCCTTGATAGTACTGAGAGAAGAGATACTTCTGTGCCATAATCCCCAGTGCTATCATGTTGATTTTGACTTATGACTACCCTTTCCAGGGTCTTCTCAGTACAGAGAACTCAGAAGTGGTTTACCCTTTCCTTCTTCTGGGACCGTGCCACTTTTCCAAGGCTACACAGGCTGCTGGGAAGTGAAGTGGGGAATTGAACTTTTGATCAGGGATGGGATTTTCACGTTTAATGGATTTCCAGTCCCCTAATTTGGCTAGACCTTTCCAGGCCAGATGACAGGAGTGAAAGCCCCACAGCAGCATGAGGTATATATAGCAGCCCCTTTACCTGCATTTGGTTCCCTTGCTCTTCATCCTGTCAGTGGAAAGAAAATCATCCCACTGCCCTTTGAGATTCCATGAGACTTGCAAAGCCCCAAGAAAGGATGAATACTGGCAGAAAATGCCTCCATACCTTCTGTAGGGAAGAAAGTCCCTTAAATATGTAAGTTCTACCTCTACTTCTCACCAACTTTTAAAAGCCATTATCAACTCCTCTGATTTAAACTGCATGTTTCCTAAATTTTCTACAAGACTCTGGAGGACCTGTGTAAGATAATTTTACTGACTGTAATAATTTATTTAATTTCCTCAACCTTTGCTTGAGGAAAACATTTTACAACAGCTTAGTTATGAATACCTCCTGGCGTTACAAAGACACATGAAACATATAATGTGAAGACTAACTGTTAAAACTAGTTGAACAGGTATGGAATATTGTATTTTCAGAACTACAAAGAAGCATTAAGATAAAATCTTCATCTATTAACAATGTACGTAAGTGCTGTTACTACCTTAATTTATCATTACTTCTGTTTCAAGAAGTGTTTGTAATTAAAAGACATCTTAAAACTGGGAAAAATTGATGGGAATAGCAAATAAAATGAAACAAAATTCCCTCCCTATGTTTGCCAGTATTAATTTCTTATTTAAAATGTGAACATAATGGCTCAGCCTTCTTTTCAGGTTGAGCTGACACATGACTTGAAAGAAACAGCATTCTTTGAAGAAGTCATCCATCAAGCTCTGCACATAAGGCCAAGGTTGGTTGGGAAGGGAATGCTACTCTTTACCTAGATAACCCTGAAAGGAATTATTAAAGGAGAATAGTTTTGTAGCTAAATGACAAGATTGTTTGGGCTTTGTAATACTGAAAAGGGAAGGCCAATTACCCAAACAAGAGTTAATGACTTTTGGGAGGGGGTATCATAAACATTGAACTGTGAAGGAAATATATCTCTATTAGTCCTGATGGTTGGTGCGCTAATTTAGTTATCTTTGATGAGTTGATATTACGTCATGGATATTTTTGTTGTCGTTGTTATTTTGGTATAATTTCTATGTTACTTGTTTCTTTTTCCTTCTGTCATTTTTGTTACATTTTGAAAAATAAACAAATTATAAAAATAATTTACATTAAATAAATAATAAGTATCTATTGGTTGTTGTGGGTTTTTCGGGCTCTTTTGCCGTGAATAAGTATCAGTCTTTCATGGCAAAGCTTTCTATTCTTTTTGTCTCTATGGGTAGTGCTATTAAGTAGTTTAGTCACTAGGTGGCATTTGATATAGTTATAGCTGTGTGGGTGTCAGATATTTGCTAGTACTCTTTCTTGAAACAGGCTTTTCCAGCTTTCTAACTAGTATGTCCTTCAAGATGTCTTTAACTAACACCATCCAAAGATCTAAGATACCCATGCATGATATTAACCAGAATATGGAGAAAATAAAATCTTAAAATTTAATAGTATGGAAAGAAAAATTATCTCCATTTCCATTTCAGACTACTGTTGTTTTTCAGAGTAAAAAAAAAAAAGTTACCATAAGAGATTTTTATCTTCAGTAAATGAGAATCTGGAAACACATTCTGACTGTTTCAGAAACTAGCAATTGGAGTTGGCAGAAATTATTTTTAATTGATTTTGACAACATTTGTTTGCTTGTGCATGTACGCCTCAAGCCAGAAAATATGAATATGGTATTTACCCCATTTCAAGGTACTGAATATTTCATCTTAAATTTCAAAAACTGTTGTAAAAGTGTCTTACTGAAGAAAGATAGTATTTTTATCATTATAGTCTGCTATTTTTACCAGGAAATTAAGGTGATATAACATTAACTCTAAAGTGTCATTTTTAAAGATAATCATAGAAGACATATTAATCAAGGAATCTGCCAAACAATTTGCAGTTGATTACATAAATTGCTATGATTATTCTAGGTTAAGATTGCACTTCTTATATCTTACTTTGGAGAGAGGGGTCATCAAGGAAGTCTTCGTGAGACTCTTTCAGTTCTCCTGGTCTTGCTTCTCGATACTCACTCCGAAGAGAAATTTTCCACCACCTGAAAATTACCTATAAATGGAGAATGATGGGAAGTATGAAAGAGCATTTTGTTGAAAATAATTCAGTATTAAGATTTTATATATGCCTGATGTCACTATGTTTTTCTTTCCTTAATAAATATTTTTAAATCCAAAGGTTGATGTTCTGAGCATTCTTTCCTTAAAATAAGCCTCATAAGACTTTGTCTAGGGGGGCAGGGTAAAATCCAGTAAAAGTAAAAGTAAAGTATAAGAAATAGTTGAAACAAAATGAAAAGATATGTATAGGAGGAGGGTAGGCACCTCTAGGAAGTTATGAACAAATTCCAAAGGAAGCAAGGGGCTGTCCCTTGGAATTTGTTTATGACTTCCTAGAGGTGCCTACCCTCCTCCTTTGTAGGAGCATATCTACTATACTATTCAATTCTTCAAAAAACCTCTGGTTTATGAATGTTCAGTAATATGCTTCTGTACTCACAATTCAAAATGCCAGAAAATGGCCCAATATTGCTGCACAATATAATGCCCGCATTGCCAGCAAGAAAAAGGATGCCATGCTTTACATAGGAAAGAGCAGCTTGAATGTTGACAAAACTAATGTCAGCAGTCAAGATGGTCTACAGGATATCGTCTTGTGCTCACTACCATTCACAAGGTGACACTACACAAGGGGAAATCCCACAAGCTAAGTATTTTTTTCATCAATTAAACATTCCTCACCCAAACACAAAGCAAATGTCAGGGTGGGTATTCAACAAGTGGGAACAGTAGTGAGCTGAAGTACCTCTATTCTGCCAACATCAAAGGTAAGTGAACTCCTTGGATGAGATGGACAGAAAACATACTCTGGATGATTTGCAATATGTGGGCAAGGACTCTGACCTGTTTGTTAACAACAACAGCAAGAACAAAATAACCTGTCCCATCTGCAAAATACACTTCTGAAATCATGAAACTACCTAAGGGACAATTTACTTTTTGAGTCTACCAGTCTTGTCCATAGAAATCTACACTGTTGTATTTTAAGTTTTATATAGACAAAATATTATAGTAAACTTGTTGTCAAGACTGACTGCTCTAATTTATCAGAAAAGGTTTTAATAAATAAAGAGAAGATAGACATAACTCTTCCCTTACAACACCATTATTTGTTTTGGTATGTAGCAGACAGAAGTGCTTAAAGATGCACCCAGGGTTAAAAATCATATAGGATCAATTAACAGAAAACGGTTAACTTACAATGAGAGTTTCTTGTTATTATAAGTAGCCATTTCAATAAAGGATTATTACATGCTAATTTAATCACATTAGAATCCTGTTCTATGCAATGCTTTTGCAAAAGGCAGTTTATTCATTTTTAAATATTTTAAGTAATACCTGTTAGGTAACAGTGGGCACACTGTTTCTTTCTGGTCATGAACTATCTAAACTTTTCCTTTTTTTCTTATTTCCACCCCTTCCAGGGTCCTCTCCACCCCTTTTCCTTTCCACCCCTTCCGGGGTCCTCTCCATCCCCTTTTCTTTCCACTCCTTCCGGGTCCTCTCCATCCCTTCTCCTCTCCACCCCCTTTCCTTTTCACCCCTTCCGGGGTCCTCTGCACTCCCTTTCCTTTCCAACCCTTCTAAACTCCTTTCTGTGCCCCAATAGGACTATAATCTATGCACCCGGGTAGGTGGGGCTCGTTAGCCTTGGAAGGCAGCCCATCTAGGAGAAGGAAAACTCTTATTTCAAAGCTCCACTGCCTTGTGGCTATATCCATCAATGGAAAAGGCTTCAGGAGGAAACCTTGAGGCAAAATCCAGAGCCAAAGTCCTGGAGGCAGTTCATGATGTTTTGGCAACTCCTGTGATATCACTGGAACCAGTTATATTGACTCTTGCCTTTCCATTGGACTATTTCAGTGACATGGAGAAGGGGAATTTGCTGCTTGGGTAACAGCCTATCCTCCATATTATTTTACCCAGGCTTCATGCACTGGAGAGGACACTCCAGCTTTGCATACAGCATCGAAATAACATGGGAAGTAGCAGTTACTGGTTATAAATTTATCATTACTTATATAAATTATAAACCGCCTGGAGAGTGCTTGTAGCGCTATGGGGCGGTATATAAGTCCAATAAATAAATAAATAAAATAAATAAATAAATAAATCTCTGCTTGATTGGCATAGAGCGTGATGCCAAGGGCTACTTCCGATGGTTGGAGAGATCATTCCACCTCACTAGGTCGCTACTGCCTGCCTTAAGCTGGGCAGCCCCCAGTCAGTAAGGTGCTTCCTCACCATGGTCTATTAACCTCACAGGTTCCATGGGTTTTATGGTGAAAGCCAACATGCAGATCAATAACCTTGCACGATGCAACAATCATAAGAAAACTTCTGCCCTAAAGTTGGCGCCTGGAATGTTCGGACAATGACCCCTGGCTTTTCTGATGACCTGCAGGAAATAGACGACACAAGCAAGACAGCTGTCATCGACATGGAACTGAGTAGGCTGCAGATGGATATTGTTGCCCTGCAAGAGATGAGATTGCCAGATTCAGGATCTGTCAAAGAAAAATAAATTCTCATTCTTCTGGCAGGGAAAACCACTGAATGAGACCAGGGAATATGGTGTTGGCTTTGCGGTTAGAAATACTCTGTTGAGATCCATTGTTCCACCTACTGAGGGGAGTGAAAGGATCCTGTCTCTGAAGCTCCACTCATCAGCAGGACCGGTCATCCTCATTAGTGCACACCAACACTGTCGTCTACAACAGAAGTTAAAGACATATTCTATGATGATCTGGCAGCTGCTATTAAAAAATCACCGAAAGAGAACTGCTGTTTATTCTCAGAGGCTTTAATGCTAGAGTTGGTGCTGATCACATTTTTTGGCCCACTTGTCTAGGCTGTTTTGGAAGATGAATGAAAACGACCAATACTTGCTGGCGTTTTGCTGTTATTATGGTTTTTGTGTTAGCAGGACGTTCTTTAATACAAAGCTTCAAACCAGAGTTTCCTGGAGACATCCAAGATCAAAGCAGTGGCATCATCTCAATTTGATCCTCACTAGACACTCTAGCCTTTCCAGTATTATGATCACACACAGTTATCAGGGTGCTGACTGCAATACTGATCACTCCCTGGTGTGTAGTAAAGTAAAACTGAACAAAGAGATTGTATCACACAAAAAAGGAAGGAAGACTACATATTGACATCAGCAAGACTCGCGATCAGAGAAAAGTGGAAGAATTTGTCCAAACGATTGAGAAAACCCTCCCAGGCCTGGCTGATGCAAATGCACCTGAACAATGGGAACATTTCAAAAATGTTATTTATAACACCGCCTTGTCCACATTTGACAAGAAGACCAAAAAGACAGCAGACTAGTTCAAAGCCCATTCGGAGAAGCCTGTCCTAGTGAGTACAACTTGCAGGTTTTTCGAGTTGCTCGTAGCAAAATCCAACAGGCTGCCAGGAGATGTTCTAATGATTATTGGCTTCAGCTCTGCTCTCAGATAGCAACAGACACAGGTAACATCAAGGGAATGTATGATGGTGTCAAGCAGACTTTAGGTCCAATACAGAAGAAATCTTCTCCTTTGAAGTCGGCGTGATCATCCAGGACCGAGCACAGCAGATGGAATGCTGAGTGCAGCACTACTCTGAGCTATATTCCAGAGAGAATGCAGTAACCAAAGAGGCATTAAATAACATCAAGTGCCTGCCTGTCTTGGAAGAGTTGGACAGCGGACCAACTTTAGCAGAAATAAAAGCAGCCTT